GTAGCCGCGGGCAAAAACTATTAAAATATAAATAAGTACATTCAGTATGATTTATTTGATACATTTTAAAATCTTGGTTTGTTTTATTAAAGACAAATTAATTAATATTTACTTTTTCCTTATATATATATAATAGAATATTTAAATTTTGAATAGAATATTTGTCAACGGAAGGCAATGGAAGTCCAATAGTATACCATGGGCTCGATTGGAACACAAAGTGAAGCGAATTCAAAACCCTAGTCACGCACCTCTGATATTTTCATGATGGCCAGGATTTTTAACGGCGGAAGGCAAGTGGTATACTTGTCTTACGGAGAAATAAAGCATCTTGAACCCTACATGTCTAAAAGAACTTCAAACGTAAAATGTAACCTATATAATATTTCAAATTAAAACCTTGAAGGATAACGCTAAGCCGTTTACATGGAGTAATGGACCGATAAGGAATTTGGAAACCAGTTTTCATGTTTATCAAGCGTCTCTATAACAATTTCCGATATTATGTATTTTAATACACAGTAACTACATATTTATTAACCGTGAAACTACAGTGCATGTACGTGTGTACTCTTAGAGTCTTGAAACTTCAACACTTATACTTGTCGAGAAACTCGTAATTATTTGAAAACTAGTATCACCACAGCATGTCTAAACTTCTAAAAGGAGATACTACTCCGTAGGCAATAGTGACACTTAATATAGGTGTCCATATTTAAACTTGATTCAGTTATTCTAAAGATAAATACAAACTAACAAATAAAGAATCTTGTAGGTGACCCTTGGACAGTGTAAAATATAATAAAATTCGCTTGTATAATGTTTGATATTTGATTTTAGAATTTCATGTGTATTTAATATGTAAATCTATACATATAATAAAATTGTAACTAAGCCGAATCTGTACATTAAATATTTTTTGGAAAATCTTATTGAAATAGACATTATTATCGATACAGAGTCCGAATCTATAGTTTTTAGAATTTTAGTCTGTCTGTCAGTCTCTCTGTCTGTTACCGCATCACGAGAAAACCACTGGACAGATTTTGATGAAATTTGGTATGATGATAGCTGGTTATCCGGGTTAACATATAAGATACTTTTTACGTGAGAAAATATCTCATTTCTGAGAAAAAATACAAAAACTGCAATGTAAGAGTATACTAATATGTAAAACATAAGAATTTGGTTTTTGGTCATCTGAACGCGGGCGGAGTCGCGGGCAATGCTAGTAAACTATATAAAAAATAAATGTTTACCAAAATAAAGCCAGACCAGACCACCTATTAGAAGTAAAAATAAAATCTATTCATGAGTTTGCAGGCAACGTTCCAGCAGAGTGGACAGAGTGTTTCCAAAACAACGAGCATGGAACAACCCATCGTTTATAGATCGCTATTTGCATAATGTGACGCCGTGCTTTAAACTACCCTTATAATATTTTGACTAGGCTTAGGTAAATTTTAAATTTTAGTTTATATTTTAAATCAATACGTACTCGTATAATAAAATTCTAACTGGAGTCGAATCTGTACATTAAATATTTTTTAGGAAATCTAATTGAAATAGTCATTATTATCGATACAGAGGCCGAATTTATAGTTTTTAGAATTTTTGTCTGTCTAATTCGTACTACGAGTATATACGAGTACTAGTATAGTACTAATATTGATAGTCAAGATATGTACATACATTTTTTAAAATGCTGACATATTTCCTCTTTCACGCCCTAATTTTACTGTGCTACGTTTCAGCCGTTCTAAATAAACTCATAAAATCAGGTCCATCAGGAATAGTAAAAGGAAAGATAAATACCCAAAAAAATCATAATATTCGGATTGCGAGAGTGTTGATATTGCTAGAAATTAATATTTTGAGCAAAACAAGAATTACAAAAAAAAGAAACTAATTGATGTAACGGGATTAACATTCAGTTTTGCCCTAGGAGTTTGTCAGTCTTCAAACTTTAAATACCTAGGCTATGTTAATCGACTGCTTCGTTACTGAGTCGCAAAAACACTTGCAGTTATAAATATAATCTCTCCACGACCGCGGACACGCCGGCGTGTCAGTTAACAATAGATTTCTTAGAAATTTAGTTAATTTCTTAGAAATTTACCTGGAGGTGTTTAGTTACTAATTTAGTCCTACACATACAGAAATTGACCTGAATGTGACTTATACAATTACATTATAAGAGCCGCGAGCATGAGCCGTATTTACTATTTAGATACTACTTCTTCAGCTGTAATCGTTGAATAGATCTGAGTAAAAATTGGAATGCGGATAGATTATTTTCTGAATTAGTCAGTAGGACGCGGACCGGTACTTTATACTGTTGTATAAAAATCTTTTCGTTTTGAATCAACGCTAATATGATTCGAAAATATTTGTACGAAGATTTTTTTACTTATTCAACTTATAAAAGCTAACATACTTAATGTCAAAAATAACAAATCCCACGATCAGCAATAATACCGTCTGCCTACAGAAGTTTCGAAGTCTTACAATAATTCTGTAATAAAATAAAAGATTACCCACTCAGATAATAAATATTGTTAGTGTTTGTAACAAATCAAATTTGTGTTTAACCAATTTGAAAAAATTTGAATGTATACCATGTTATTCGTCTATGTGGTAACGGGTCATAGCTTCGACTCATCTGAAGGGTTTAGTATTTAATAATAATAGGTAAGAAGTAAGTGGGAATGATTCATCTTCACCGAGATTAAATAATTATTTCAGCTTAAATTATATAAGTGATAGATTAAAAATTTAAAAACCCCCCAACCCTCTTGGACCGATTTTCATCAAACATAGCAAAGAATACTCACGACTGATTCACCTTTCAAACAAAAAAAAACGAAATAAAAATCGGTTCATCCGTTCGGGAGCTACGATGCCACAGTAGACACACACACACACACACACACACACACACACACACACACACACACACACACACACACACTCACACACAGACACGTTAAATTTTAGCAACCCGTAGTTTTCGCGTCGGGGGTTAAAAATGAATCAGACTAGGAAGTCGTTGTCTGTGTAAAAGGCATCAGCAGGACAATAAATAACAATTCGTGATAACGTAATTTTGTTAATGGTTTTCCTTTAAATTCATATGTTATTTTCAATTATAATTTTATTCATGAACTTCTAATATTTATTATTTTTAAAGTTTTTATTGTTTAAATTAAAAATAGAAACCTTATACTCACTTACCTGTTTTTCAACCGACTTCAAAAAGGAGGAGGTTCTCAATTCGACTGATTTTTTTTTATGTTTGTTACCTCAGAACTCCGTCATTTATTAATCGATTTGGACAATTTTTGTGTTGTTTGAAAGTGTATACTTCCAGATTGGCCCCATTTAAATTTCAAAAAAAAATACCACCCCTAAGGGTGGAAAATTAGCTAATGATGAATTTAATCTACTTCTAATTGTCATAATGACTTGAAACTTTGCAAGTGTTTCTATTTCCGTTGATAGTACAGTGGTTTGGTATTGTTGACTTGATCTGATGGTAAGGCCAGAAGGTGGATAGGTGGAACTCTTCAACGGCCAATAGTAGATACTTAGAGTTTGGGCTTATTTTGTTTGATTTGACAAGCCTAACACGTTAGAATTCTTACTTTGCTACTACTGTCTACACTAAAAAGGGAAAAATTAAAAACTTTTTAACAAAAAAATAAAAACTGACTTCAAAGAAAAGCACTAAAAAGTAAAAAATAACTGATTGGTAGTTTTCATTTACTATACATACCTTATCAAATATTTTCGAAGTCGGTGTGCTTTGGCTAAGTAATTAAAGCCTATCTATTAAATACATACCTAATCAAATTATTCGAAATCGGTGCCAGCCCATACAAAGCAACTTGATCAGCAAATTGATCAAATGGAACAATAAGTTTTGAAAACGTTTTTCTTTTTAACCTAAGAAAGTATTGTGTTAAATGAGAAAACATAAGATGAAAGAATCGAAGTAGGTAGATATATATAACTTGACATCTAGAAATTCATCCAGATCGGAGAAGCCGTTTAGGAGGAAAAAAATTATGAACAGACGCACACAATTTGTAAAAGTATATATTAATAGTATTGCTTAGTAAGTTGTTTTTAAATAATAGCAAACTAAATTAAAATTATTATTCTTAATTAATTTTAACTTTTTAAATTACACATAGAACAATTATATGGCTTAAATAATTAATACTATATTTTATATTTTTCTTTATGGTTATAAATATAATAATGGCAACACTAAATATAGATTACTAATTAATATTTTTAAAATTGTAATAATTATAAAAATAATAGCAAAAATTAAATAAATAATTTTCCATATTCAATTATAATTAAAATTATAAAAATGTTTAAAGTTAAAAATATTGTAATGTAATTGGTGCAATTTTCATTTTGTTAATAGTGGGTAGGCTGTCTGTAACAGCTTTACCTTCAAGACATGTAACACCTCAGTCTCTCCCGTGACTATGGATGCTGTAAAGCATTCGAAACATCGGGAACCAAAAATCAAAATAAATCCGCGAAATAATCCGAAAAGATAGTTTTATTTAATAATGTCAAACATTCGCGTAAATCTAAGAAAGTATTAGACGCACACAAGTTTTATATATATGCCATTTTATAATAATGTAATAGAAATATTTTTACAATTTATTTACCTTTATAGCCTAAACGAATGCTTATCATAAAATATTATACTATAATTATGTATTATATATATAAATATCATTTTAAGGTTAAAAATTCTTGTAGGATGTTACAGCAAAAAGGAACCGGATATTTAAGGCCCAATTTTAATTTTGCATTAATATTTAATAAAGTATACTTTAATAGTAAAGTAAAATTTTAAATTCTTATAATATGTAAAACTTCATAAAGCAAACGATAAACGGCCAATGCAATTCAATTCCACTAATTTAAAAAAAAACAACAAGTAACTTAGCGCAACTGTACTGTATTTGTTAATGCCAAACCTTCAATACTGGTGGGGGAGGCGTCTGAGGCATTTTCAAAGCACGTTCAAGTCCTTCTGTTAATTTTTTGCCCATTGCTGGATCAGTTAAGGTAAACAGTCGTACTACCCTTCTCCGTAACTTCGGAGAAATTGGTATTAAGGAAGGTATTGTGTTATTTATAAGCCTTTGTCTTTGGTCACAATCTAGAACATGATTAAAGAAATAATTTATAGGTTCTAAATCGACTACATTAGCTTGGAGTACTGAAAGTCTTTCTTTAGGTCGGCTTGGATCAACGTATGGCGTAGGTCCATGAAAAGAGTTTGGATAGTAATTTGGGATATCTTTCATATTATCCCTTACTGGAGGTACACCATCACGATCATAAACGTTCCAATGCAATGGAACATTTACATCTTCTCTGTTATGATTCACACCTAAACGGTATACTTGAGCCTCCCGATACGATGACCGTCTACTTCTAAAAAGAGTATCAATAGGTCCAGGAATACCTGGCACTAAATTGCCTGGATTGAATGTAATTAACTCAGCCACTCTAAATACATTATCAGGGTTTTTATTAAATATAAGGCGACCAACTTTCACCGTATGATACGTCCCCCTTTTCCAAAGTCTGATTACATCAAAGGGATTATAATCAAGATGTTTTATTTCTTCAAGAGTTAGAATATCCATTTCTAATTCCCATGCAGGATAGTTTTTGTTCTCGATAGCATCGTACAGATCTCTGGTGAAATAATCAGGGTCTCGTACTGAAATATCTTGCGCTACATCGTCTGGTAAATTTTCTAAACCTTGTTCTGTTCGAAAATTAAATCTTACAAAATATCTGTCACCATGTTTATTATTAATTTCATAGGTATGAATAGGAAATATATCCATTTTTGTAAATCCATTAGGTATTCCAAAGTCAGAAAATAACCACATGAATGTGTGAAATGTATCAGCAACTCTAGTGACAAAATCCCAACGTGCAGTAAGATCATAAAGATTGGTTTTAGGATTTCTCTTTATGGCATGAGCAGCATGGGTAAACACAAGTGGATCTTTATGTAAGAAGATTGGAAGATTAAGCATTAGCAAATCAAGATTTCCTTCACTGGTGAAAAATTTGGCAGCCAAGGCTTTTGTCGCTCTTTCAAGATCGGTGCCTCCTTTATTTTGGGCAATCGTAGAGAATCGACCAACAACTGGAGTTTTCTTACCAATTCCATTGAAAACATCCGCTTTTGTATATTTAGAAACATCATGCGTTACTATAAAATAACCTATCGCAGCGGTACCTTTAGCGTGTACGATCCGTTCAGGTGTTCTTTCAGCATCAGCGTGTGTTAAAAGATCTATGTGGTAGGGGTTGGAAAACCCATCTGAATTCAACGTAATACTCTCCCGAATTTCTACTGGCCTTCCTGCACTTGTTGTTAGAATGCCAATAGGTATCTACAATATGAAATATGAATTAATTTCACGATGAAAATTATTTTTACAACTAAACTAAAATTTATAAAAATACAGTGTACCATATCATAAACTTAATAAATTTATTCCAATCCGTTAATTTCGATATCATGTCAAGTTACAATAAAATTATATTATGGCACTAGGGACGGATCGAGGCTGAGCGAGGATGAATCGTTATGTCATTATGTCGAGTTTTGTTTGAACGTTTAATATAGATTGCACAGGGATGAGATATTTTTCGGCAGTAAAAAGTATCCTATATGTTGACCCGGATAACCAACTATCATCGTACCAAATTTCAACAAAATCTAACCAGTGGTTTTCTCGTGATGCGTTCCCAGACACACAGACAGTCAGATTGAAATTCTAAAAACTATAAATTCGGCCTCTGTATTGATAATAATGACTCTTTCAATAAGATTTTCCAAAAAATATTTCATTTGCATATTCGACTCAGAATTTTATTATATGTATAGATAAATAAGTTATAACTTGATATATAGTTGTACTTTATTCTTAAGGATCTTTTAATTTAATTATTATGAAGTACTTTTATCTTATGATATACCGGTGTTCTTTTGCGAACTTTTTGGTGCATTATATTTTAAGGATATTTATTATCCTTGAAATATTCAAAAAATATATTTTACGCCACCGCAGCTACAGATTTGGCGGGTTTTCAGTGCCGCCAATCTACAGCGGTGGCGTTAATACGTAAGTACCGTATATATTTTTTTATATCAATCAACCTTTCATTGCATCTTTTGATTTAATCATAAGGTATTCGTATATTTTATGTTTATGTCTACATAAATAATAGTCGAATGGAACGAGAAGGATTATGTACTATGCAATCGTCAAACATACATACGAGTATGTACATCTCGCGGCAAGGATGAAACGTGCATACATTTATTATTTATTTATTATTTATTTACAGTTGTGTCTCCCGATACGATGAATGTCTACTTCTAAAAAATGTATCAACAGGTGCATTCAATTCAGACACTCTAAACATGTTATCAGGATTTTTATTAAAAATTAGACGACTAACTTTCATCCTAATATATGTATCCTTTTTCCACAATCTGGTAACATCGAATTTATTATAATTAATATTTTTTATATTTTCAAAAGTCAGAACATCCATTTCTAATTCCCATGCAGGATAGTTTTGGTTCTCGATAGCATTGTATAGATCACGATTATAATAGTCAGGGTCTCGTGCTGAAATCTCTTGCGCTACATCGTCTGGTAGATTTTCTAAGCTTCTCTGATCGAAAATTAAATCTAACAAAATATCTTTCACCATGTTTATTATTGATTTCATATCTATGAATAGAAAATATATCCATTTTTCTATAGCCATTGGGTATTCCAAAATCAGAAAATAACGACATAAAAGCATGAAAGACATTGGCAAGTTTGGTAATAAAGTCCCACCGAGTAGAAAAATCAAAGAGATTGGTTTTGGGATTATTTTTTAGAGAATGAACGAAATGGGGAAATAAGAGTGGATCTTTAAAAAACTGAAAGAAGTGTCTTTGAAAGAAAACTGGTATACGAAGCAGTAAGAAATCCATATTTCCTACTCTGGTGAAAAACTTAATACCTAAACCTTTAGCTTCTTGCGTGGATCGAGCTTTATGACCCGGCGCCGAATCTTGCTGAAAGGACCATTCTTGGTTATTGAACATGGTGTTGTTACACTTGTGCCGATGTTTTGATACCTTTTTCACAAAAATATGGCTCAGTTACTCCTTCATAATTAACACCCCACCAAACCATCACTGAAATCGGATAATGCCTACGTTGTACTCTGTTGACTAATTGGGAAGCTTCCTTAGAGCTTTAAGCATAAATACGGTCATTTTGTACGTAAAAATATTGCTCAATTGTAAAAAACATGACTCCCTTTGCGTACCACTTAAGTAGTTGTTTAGATTTTACCACCCTATTCTTTTTTAAATTATCAGTTAAGAAATGACCAGTGCGCCTCATATAGGCTGCAAGTCCTAAGTCATCTTTTAAAATACGCGACATGGTTCTAGGTGCTACCTTCATCTCCCGAGATAGTCTTTTGCTTTCGGATAGGATTTCTTCTAATTTTTTTCCTTACTGCTTTAATCGCCTTTTTCGTACGAACACTACGAAGACGGCCAGGTCTTTTTCTGTCACGAACAGAGGTTTTTTTAATTTACCTATCAATAGCCCGGTACACAAACATTTGACGAATACCAAGCGTATGGAGAGTTTTAAAAATTGTATTTGCTCCATACCTACTTTGTGTAATGCAATCACAGCGATTCGGTTCTCTTTATCACCCCACTCCATTTTAATATCACAAAATATTTTACAATGTATTTGCGCGAAAATGAGAAAACACAATGAACAATCATGTAAAAATGACAGATTCCAAATTCAAATGTAATATTTTGTTTATTTTTAATTGTAACAGTATTTATGGCTAGACTATGTATTTTAAATGCACTCATAAAGCTAATATACATAATAGGAACTTAATCAAAATTTAAAATTCAGTCTACAGTATAATCTATACATACAATAAAACTGTAGGGGTCGAATGAACGAATGAACGAATCGTCTTTACGTAGAAAAAAAATGCTAAGAACCGAGTCAGGGGGATTGTAAGAAGAGAAATAGAACAAATCTAGATTTTTTTCAATTTTTTTGTTTCTCTGTCTGTTTGTCTGTCTGTACGGGCTAATCTCCGAAATTGTTGGACCGATTTGAATGAAATTGTACATAGTGGTACCTTATATTCCCGGTCAACATTTTAGATACTTTTCATCCCGGAAAATTAAAGAGTTCCCATGGAATAGATTTGTTTTTATTTGTCCCGATTGCGAACCCGAGCGAAGCGACGGTGAGCTGCTAGTTATTATGATATAACATAACATACCGGATGTTCTTTTGCGAATTCAACAAGCTGCTCAGTGGCAGGATCTGTTTGGTTGACGTATTTATATAATTCATTATCACCACTACACACTATATTTTTCACTATGAGTGCAAAAAGACAACACACGAGGAGCGCCATAATCAAAAAAGGTATTAATTTCTATTTCAAGCAATTTATATACAAAGACTATTATGAAAAATATAATGTAGTAACAATGCATGCGTAATTGACTTATCAAATAATAATGTAATTACAAGAGAAATCTAATTTGAGTTTACGAGCAACATCCTTTCATTAATTAACAATCCTTTACAATGTAAGATTTACTCGTAGATTGTCATATTAGCTTTTTTACGAAGATAAACTATGTGTTATAACAATAAATATATTCATATAATTATATCAAATATTTTTTATAACAATGACTTATACATTGTATTGACTTTTATATTAGACCCCAATACAAAAAATCGAAAAAAAAAACGAGAGTGTGTACTTATTATATACGCACGTAAGTTATACTACTTTGACGTAACAGAACAAAAATTCCTAAAGATTTCATCCCGTATGTCACAACTGTCTGTTTGTAAAAGGAATGGATAAATTAATAAAAATAAATATATTTTTTTTATCTCCACTGAAATAAAACACGTGTTATAGATTTATGAATATTTAAAAACTATTTTGAAAATAATTATGAGTTTTCATGGGAACCGGATAGACAGACAGTTATCACCTAACAGCTAACTTCATCATGTCGCTTTTTAGCTGCCGGTGTGCGCGTGCATCATAAAAATTTTACTTTCATAATTTTTGCCAAACGTGCCGAAAGAAGTATAACTTCAAAAAAAAATTTTTTTTTTGTATAAATATAATATGTGGCGGTGGAGAGGGCGCAACTAACATTGAGAAGCAACTCCGCAATTTTTTTTTAAATATGTATATGAAAATATATAACCAGAAAAGTGTTGTGAATTGCAGTGCTTAACAACTATTAAAAATCTATTTAGGTTGTGTCAATGGGTAGGAAAGTCAAATATTTTATAATTGTATAGACAGAGTTTGTTTGTTTGTTTGAACGCGCTAATCTCAGGAATTACTAATTCGATTTGAAAAAATCTTTTTGCCTTAGATAGCCCGCTCATTGAGGAAGGCTATATAGTATATATATCATCATGCTACTACCCAAGAGAGTGGAGCCGGGAGCAGTAATCATTAAAGTTCAAGAGATCATGCACTTCCACACATTATTGTAAAACTAATGTTTATAATAAAAAAAATTAACGCGGGTAAAACCGCAGGGCACAGCTAGTAAGTACATAATTTTCACATAAAACAAAGTTTCACAATAATTCTGTAATCAAAATAAAATAATTAACAAAAGTTTATAAGACTTTGAGTTCATTCGTAAAATAATTTATAAGGTACATCTAACAGTCAAACAACGAGTAGTTTCTATTTGAAATAATTATATATATATATATATATATATATATATATATATATTTACATTGCAACGCCATCTATTGTAGCCCTGTGACACTATTACGGTGAATATCGATCAAGCAACATCACATCAACCGTAGTGAGCTACAATATCCACTAAATGGCCATAGTACTTATTGATATTAATATATATTATAAGCTTTTGATTTATTAAATAAATCCAAAGCTTATATCATATATTAATAAAGATAGATAGATAATATAAAGCTATAATAAATTTTATTATATTTACACTTATATTTCAACTAGCGATTCACCCTCGCTTCGCTCGGTTTCCTCCCTAGGTGCTTCTCATAACTATTTTATTTATGAATCGATTAAAATAAAACAACTAAATGTTCAGTGAAGCTTACCACAATATATCTATTAGAGAAAACCGCAACCAAATCGATTAAGCCACCGACAAAAAAAATAGTTTTTTTTTATTCTTTTAATTTTCGTCTATACAAACCTTCCTGACAATAAAAAACTCAAAAAAAAAGAATTATCCAATTTGGTGCAGTGAGCAGTCGATCCGAAGTTATGCGCGTATGTACAATGTACATACATTTCGGTGATTCATTATTATTTATATAGATTAAAGATTCCTCGATTGAGATACATAGACTTGTTTAATCGTAAGTATGAACGAAATACATATAAATATTCAGTGAAAAACCAGAATATGTCTTTACTCCATCGTCAATAACTAGTGGCGGCGAAAGAGGAATTGTAAACAAATTTTTAGTCTGAACTGTGAAGTAAATAATACCTGTAATAAAAAGAATTAATAGAAAAATTATAAGATATCCTATAGATATTAGTAATAAGTAATTTTACAAATATATAATTTTAGTCACATGTATTTTTTTAAAAGGCGTACATATTATACATACATACATCTATTTTTTTTGAAAATAACTGATGTAAAAGTATTATATTTCTAGAAGATATATTTTTAAAATTGTCCCTGTAGCCACATTTGTTGTTTTGCCTTAATCAGTTTTTAATTTTTATATGTCCTTTAAATTTATCATATCTTATTTAACTTTAGCTTTGAGTTTTTTTTTTTGTTAACTTGATTATCTGTTTTTCATTAGACCGTTTATCAATGATCTGAGGCAGCGATACTGGATCATCCACCTACGACCTACTGTGCGCACCATAGAAAGGGAGTGCGCCTTCTGCAAAGTGCGAAGAGCAAAGCCTCAGGTTCCGGCGACTGGAGACCTGCCCCGAGCTCTCACTCTCAGCACTCATTAAAATATTTAATTTAATTTAATTTAATTTCAATGTAAGTTCATTTTCGGCGACGCTCTAGTAGACCAATCGAAATCCGATTATCTTTAATAGAAAAATAAAATTAAAACCTGAAGTTTTATGATTTTAAAATGTTAGCAGGTATATAAGGAATAGAAATTCGTAAAATGCCCCCGATGCTCAGCTACCCCCGAGAAATAGAGAAATGGGGGGACGCAAAGCGTTGAAAAATAGTTTTTTTTTTCAATTTCCGTTTTACTGTGACGTACTATCGAAACATGTTTTCTACAAAAGTTGTAGGTCGAATAAAAATCTACAACTTTTAAAAATAACATTTTATACAATAACCTAAAAGTTTTCGAGATATTTGCAGAAAACTCGATTGATGATGATCGATGATAGATCCTTGTAGAAATATGACTAAATTTAAAATTACCCTTCAATCTACTGTGCATCCATTAAATGCATATTGATGAAAAGAAATGAAAAGAAAACGATATTTTTATTGAAAGTCGAATATCTCAGGAGAAAAATCGACGTAAAGAGTTTAGTAAAATTGCTTTAATAAATAACCAGGAGTTTAAGTTCTACTATTTTCCTGGATTCTTTAATTTAAAGAATACTTTTAAACTTCAGGAGAACAAAGACATACTTATCAAAGGGCCTCTAACGTTGCTTCCTGTAGTGTTGTTATCAGCAACTTCAAGGATCTCATCCGAACCAGGAAACAACACTAAAATCAAATTAAAGTCGCTAAAAACTAGTAAGCCTATCTATTGTCATGTATAATAACTAGTTTCTTACTATTTAATTTAAATGTAACATAGAATAAGCATGTCGCTTATGATGTAAAAATTATTATGTTGTGTTTTATTTCAATCACGGCATGGATCCATGTAAGATAGCGTGACGAAGAAGAAGATAAACAAAATATATTTTTTTATATCAATCAGCCTTTCATTATATCTTTTGATTTAATCATAAGGTATTCGTATATTTTATGTTTATGTCTACATAAATAATATTCAGTTGATAGTATTTAATGGTAAATACATATTATTTACAACTAGCATTACCGGCTCCGCCCGCGTTCAGATGGCCAAAAACCAAATTCTTAGGTTTTACATATTAGTATACTCTTACATTGTACATTTTGTATTTTTTCTCAAAAATGAAATATTTTCCCACGGTAAAAAGTATCATATATGTTGACCCGGATAACCAGCTATCGCCAAACTAAATTTCATCAAAATCCCTCCAGTGGTTTTTCTGTGATGCGGTAACAGAAAGACAGACAGACAGACAAAAATTCTAAAAACTATATATTTGGCCTCTGTAACGAAAATAATGTTTATTTGAACAAATTTTTCCAAAAAAATATTTAATGTATAGATTCGGTTTAGTTACAATTTTATTATAGGTATGTATAGATATTTGAAAGTAAACAACTATCATATTATAATAATGTTTATGGCAAGGAGTAACGAGTAACTAAAGTAGTCGGTGGTAGTTAAAAAGTAAGCTTCTCCGCTGCTCAATAGGCAGTACTCAGCAGTTACGATTCGTATTAGCACCCGCACTGATATTCTTAATATGTTGGGACATTAACACACGGCACCATCTAGTTCCATGGTAAGCTACGAGGCTTGTGTTATAGAAACCAGATACACTACACATATATACCTTTAAATACATAAATATTATAGATATAAACACCCAAGGCTGGAGTACAAACATTCGTGCTTATCACACAAATGAATGCCCCAGCGGGACTCGAACGCACGACCGTTGGCACAGCAAGTAGGGTCACTACAAACTAAGCTAAACGTTCGTTGCATAGTATAAAATATAATTAAGCAATTTGAGAATACCGTCACGCTGATCCTGAAATGTATAAAAATAGCATTAAAATCAAATAACTGTTGATATCTTACGTACTTTCCTTATAAAGTTGAGGAGTTTTGTCCATTTTTAATAAATTAATTACATGTAAAAACAGGTAAACGTAGAAATTACAAGTACTTTTGAAAAGAAATTGTAATCGGTGACAATAAATTATGTATACTCGTAGTACACGTACCCTTACTTAGTATGTATGATTATTCAGATTTTGCAGTCCCTTTGCATTTACCAATTGTTAATAAGAATAAATCGTTCATGCATCTTTCAGTGGAGATATGTATATGCACATAATATACCTATTACATACAATATTGAATTTGTTTCTTAGTTTAATTTCTAAAACCTTAGGTATCGATACGAACTTTTTAAATACATAAAAGGGAATGAAAATATCATAATATATATGTAATATAAAATGAAGTGCAAACATAGTAAAAAAAATACTTCGTTGCTTTATAATTAATCAGACGTTTCTAATCAACAATAAAAAGTTACATAGAATTAAAAAACGAAAAAATAACTATAAGAATTTAGTATTGTGTTAATTTACGATACTATTGTCACTTCGCTCCCGCTCCCATTAAAATCATACTAAGATCTCGCTAAAATCTGTTATAAAGTTCCTAAGATTAATTCAAACAATCAAATAGATAAACAAAATCATAATCAAAATCTTGAAATAGTTGGTTACAAAATTTTCGAATATAGTCACTAACAAAAATTAAGAGTTTAGAAAATACATAAATCTGTACTTATAAACAACTATACTTTAAAAATATTGCTGAAAGTTAAACATAAATTAATATCATCATCTCATTACAATGGCATTTTTAACAAGTATATTAATATTAATGCATCCGACGCAACGTTATGAATTCATATTGAACTCAAGTAAAACTATTGATTTTCTTGTTGATATGACGGAGCCTTTAATACCTCAGGTGAAGGAGGCAGAGGCATTCGCAATGCTCGTTCAAGTCCTTCTGTCAATTTCTTGCCTAATATGGGGTCACTTAAGGTAAACAAACGTATTGCCCTTCTACGTAACTTTGGAGAAACTGGTAGTAACGTAGGTATCGTATTGTTTAGAAGCCTTTCTCTTTGTTCACAATCTAAAATATGATTAAAGAAATAATTTACAGGCTCTAAATCGACTACATTAGCTTCATACACTAAAAATCTTTCTTTGGGTCGGATTGGATCAACATATGGTACAGGTCCATGAAAAGAATTCGGGTAATAGTTTGGTGCATCTTTCATATTACCCTTTACTGGTGGTGGACCATCACGATCGTAAACATTCCAATGCCATGGAACATTAACATTTATTCTGTTATGGTTAGCACCTAAACGATACAGCTGTGTCTCCCGATACGATGAACGTCTACTTCTAAAAAATGTATCAACAGGTCCAGTTATACCCGGTACTAAATTACCTGGATTAAATGCACTCAATTCAGACACTCTAAACATGTTATCAGGATTTTTATTAAAAATTAGACGACTAACTTTCATCCTAATATATGTATCCTTTTTCCACAATCTGGTAACATCGAATTTATTATAATTAATATTTTTTATATTTTCAAAAGTCAGAACATCCATTTCTAATTCCCATGCAGGATAGCTTTTGTTCTCGATAGCATTGTATAGATCACGATTATAATAATCAGGGTCCCGTGCTGAAATCTCTTGCGCTACATCGTCTGGTAGATTTTCTAAGCCTTGTTCTGTTCATAAATTAAATCTAACAAAATATCTTTCACCATGTTTATTATTGATTTCATATGTATGAATAGGAAATATATCCATTTTTCTATAGCCATTGGGTATTCCAAAATCAGAAAATAACCACATAAAAGCATGAAAGGCATTGGCATGTTTGGTAATAAAGTCCCACCGAGTAGAAAAATCAAAGAGATTGGTTTTGGGATTCTTTTTTAGAGAATGAACGAAATGGTGAAATAAGAGTGGATCTTTAAAAAACTGAAAGAAAAGTCTCTTTGAAAGAAAACTGGTATACGAAGCAGTAAGAAATCCATATTTCCTTGTCTGGTGAAAAACTTAATACCTAAACCTTTGGCTTCTTGCATGGATCGAGCTTTATGACCCGGCGCCGAGTCTTGCTGAAAGGACCATTCTTGGTTATTGAACATGGTGTTGTTACACTTGTGCCGATGTTTTGATACCTCTTTCACAAAAATATGGCTCAGTTACTCCTTCATAGTTAACACCCCACCAAACCATCACTGAAATCAGATAATGCCTACGTTGTACTCTGTTGACTAATTGGGAAGCTTCCTTAGAGCTTTACGCATAAATACGGTCATTTTGTACGTAAAAATATTGCTCAATTGTAAAAAATATGACTCCCTTTGCGTACCACTTAAGTAGTTGTTTAGATTTTACCACCCTATTCTTTTTTAAATTATCAGTTAAGAAATGACCAGTGCGTCTCATATAGGCTGCAAGTCTTAAGTCATCTTTTAAAATACGCAACATGGTTCTAGGTGCTACCTTCATCTCCCGAAATAGTCTTTTGCTTTCGGATAGGATTTCTTCGAATTCTTTCCCTTACTGCTTTGATCGCCTTTTTGTACGAACACTACGAAGACATACATTTACATTTGACGAATACCAAGCGTATGGAGAATTTTAAAAATTGTATTTGGCTCCATACCTACTTTGTGTAATGCAATCACAGCGATTCGGTTCTCTTTATCACCCCACTCCATTTGAATATCACAAAATATTTTACAATGTATTTGCGCGAAAATGAGAAAACACAATGAACAATCATATAAGAATGACAGATTCCAAATTCAAACGTAATATTTTGTTTATTTTTAATTGTAACAGTATTTATGGCTAGACTATGTATTTTAAATGCACTCATAAAGCTACATAATAGGAACTTAATCAAAATTTAAAATTCAGTCTACAGTATAATCTATACATACAATAAAACTGTAGAGGTCGAATGAATGAATGAACGAATCGTCTGTACGTAGAAAAAAAATGCTAAAAACCGAGTCAGGGGGATGTAAGAAGAGAAATAGAACAAATCTAGATTTTTTTTCAATTTTTTTGTTTCTCTGTATGTTTGTCTGTCTGTACGGGCTAATCTCCGAAATTGTTGGACCGATTTGAATGAAATTGTACATAGTGGTACCTTATATTCCCGGTCAACATTTTAGATACTTTTCATCCCGGAAAATTAAAGAGTTCCCATGGAATAGATTTGTTTTTATTTGTCCCGATTGCGAACCCGAGCGAAGCGACGCGACGGTGAGCCGCTAGTTATTATAATATAACATAACATACCGGATGTTCTTTTGCGAATTCAACAAGCTGCTCAGTGGCAGGATCCGTTTGGTTGGCGTATTTATATAATTCATTATCACCACTACACACAATATTTTTCACTATGAGTGCAAAAAGACAACACACGAGGAGCGCCATACTCAAAAAAGGTATTAATTTCTATTTCAAGCAATTTATATACAAGGACTATTATAAAAAATATAATGAAGTAACAATGCATGCGTAATTACAAGAGAAATCTAATTTGAGTTTACGAGCAACATCCTTTTATTAATTAACAATCCTTTACACTGTAAGATTTACTCGTAGATTGCCATATTAGCTTTTTTACGAAGATAAACTATGTGTTATAACAATAAATATATTCATATAATTACATCAAATATTTTTTATAACAATGACTTATACATTGTATTGACTTTTATATTAGACCCCAATACACAAAATCAAAAAAAAACGAGAGTGTGTACTTATTATATACGCACGTAAGTTATACTACTTTTTTGTTTGTAAAAGGAATGGATAAATTAATAAAAATAAATATATTTTTTATCTCCACTGATATAAAACACGTGTTATAGATTTATGAATATTTGAAAAACTATTTTGAAAATAATTATGAGTTTTCATGGGAACCGGATAGACAGACAGTTATCACCTAACAGCTAACTTCATCATGTCGCTTTTTAGCTGTCGGTGTGCGCGTGCATCATAAAAATTTTACTTTCATAATTTTTGCCAAACGTGCCGAAAGAAGTACAGCTTCAAAAAAAATTTTTTTGTATAAATATAATATGTGGCGGTGGGGAGGGCGCAACTAACATTGAGAAGCAACTCCGCAATATTTTTTTAAATATGTATATGAAAATATATAACCAGAAAAGTGTTGTGAATTACAGTGTTTAACAACTATTAAAAAAGTTATTTAGGTTGTGTCAATGAGAAGGAAAGTCAAATATTTTATAATTGTATAGACAGAGTTTGTTTGTTTGTTTGAACGCGCTAATCTCAGGAATTACTAATTCGATTTGAAAAAATCTTTTTGCCTTAGATAGCCCGCTCATTGAGGTAGGCTATATAGTATATATATCATCATGCTACTACCCAAGAGAGTGGAGCCGGGAGCAGTAATCATTAAAGTTCAAGAGATCATGCAGACTTCCACACATTATTGTAAAACTGATGTTTATACTAAAAAAAATTAACGCGGGTAAAACCGCAGGGCACTGCTAGTAAGTACATAATTTTCACATAAAACAAAGTTTCACAATAATTCTGTAATCAAAATAAAATAATTAACAAAAGTTTATAAGACTTTGAGTAGTTTCTATTTGAAATAAGTATATATATATATATATATATATATATATATATATATATATATATATATATATATATATATATATATATATATATATATTTACATTGCAACGCCATCTATTGTAGCCCTGTGAAACTATTACGGTGAATATCGATCAAGCAACATCACATCAAACGTAGTGAGCTACAATATCCACTAAATGGCCATAGTAATTATTGATACTAATATATATTATAAGCTTTTGATTTATTTAATAAATCTAAAGCTTATAACATATATTAATAAGGATAGATAGATAATATAATGCTATAATAAATTTTATTATATTTACACTTATATTTCAACTAGCGATTCACCCTCGCTTCGCTCGGTTTCCTCCCTAGGTGCTTCTCATAACTATTTTATTTATGAATCGATTGAAATAAAACAACTAAATGTTAAGTGAAGCTTACCACAACATTAGATATGTTTATATTAGTGAAAACCGCAACCAAATCGATTAAGCCACCGACAAAAAAAAATAGTTTTTTTTTATTCTTTTAATTTTCGTCTATACAAAACTTCCTGACAATAACAAACACAAAAAAAAGAATTATCCAATTTGGTGCAGTGAGCAGTCGATCCGAAGTTATGCGCGTATGTACAATGTACATATATTTCGGTGATTCATTATTATTTTTATAGATTAAAGATTCATCGATTGAGATACATAGACTTGTTTAATCGTAAGTATGAACGAAATACATATAAATATTCACTGAAAAACCAGAATATGTCTTTGTATGTGCTTGGTAATTTAAAGTTAGTACCTGAGCGATAGGCCTTCATTCAGCGTAGGCGCCATTGCCATTAGTGACAATGCAAGTACCACAAAAATTTACGAGATGGCGCTATATGACATTGGCGATATGAGAGTAAATAGAAAAAGGCTCTAATAATAAGTAAAATGTACTTATAATAAAAAATGTTTTCAGAAGAAACACCTAAATAGATAAACTTACCGGTGGTAGGACTCTGTCAAGTTTGAGGAGTACGACTGGATGGGTACCACCTCCTTATCTATTTCTCCCGCCAAGCAACAATGCTTACATTACGACACTGTCGTAGAACAAAATCAGATCTACAAAATAGCTACTTTACAGGAGAGCCGTTTAAAGTTTTGAAGTCACATTTTTTACCATAACTTTTCTCCTATTTAATTAATTGAAAAAAAAAAATTAGGAATAGCCTTTCGTCTTTTATTAAGAGTTATTACTAGATAATAATAATAACTTTTTCTTTATAAAATAATAAAATGTGTTTGTATATTATAATCCGACGTTATATTACGTAACTTAGGACGTATGTTGTGACTTTCCGAAGTTGTTCTATGGAAAGTTGTACTACATCAGTCAAATCACAAAATTTCAAAATACAAAAAATCTAAGACTCTTTAACAAATATGAGATCTCAGAAATAATAACATTTTAAATATCTATATCAACAACAGATATGAGTAGGTTTTTAGCTATATATAATTATAAGATAAATATTAAATATAACTTAATGTTTATACTAGGAATATGATTGAGCAGGTACTTAATATTCACTTCACAATTAAAAATAAAATAAATACTTCAAAAACTAGTAATAACAAAAAATACTTTTCTTCAAAATTATCTCAGAACTGTTTAAATCCTTCATAAATATTTAGTTTTAAAATAATGTATTTTCTTAATCAAAACTATCAAATAAAATGAAATGTCTAATGACATTTCATTTTGATAGGTTAATTTATTAATTAACACAATAATAAAAAAAAATCACTCATCATCAAACGGTAGGGATTTGAAATAAATGCTATGTTCAGAAATGATTACACCGGTTTTGCACATGTGAACCAGATCAGTATATTTATCTTTCGATATTTTATACAAGCTGTTAGAAATAGGTTTTAAATCAGGTAGAGCCAGACATATTATAACCACTTTCATTGAGATCATATAGATAATAATATAATTAAGTGGGACCTTTTTTTTTGACATGGACTTCCTTTATCTGATTCCATAGAATTTACATGAAATCTTAACTAAAGTGCTTGGAAACAATATTGACGTTCGATTGAAGCCCTCTTAGCATATTTTGTAGGATTAAAACATTCTTTGTATAATAGAAACATACATCCAATACTACGATTACCGTCCAAGTATAGCTTGATCGATCTCTTAACATAATGAGATAAAAGAATTGACGTGATCATAGACACTTTTTTTCGCTTTCAGAAGAAGAAGCTATTGGCAAGTTGTATTTATAAGTATATTTACGTAAATTAGGTTGATCTGTGTTAAGACATCGATGCTTCTTTACTTCTAAATAAAATTTAACCACAAATACTCACTGTTTCTCTTTGTTACCGAGATTCCAAAACCTTTTAAAACAATATACTCTTTGTTCATTAGTAATTTTCTCACTACATTTATAACGCATACCCATAACCTTTTTCATCAAGAACTTTACCCCTCTTTGACACATTTTTTAACCTGAATTCGTTAAGCTTTTCCTTTTTACATTGGACCATGATTCTCTACTTTTGTTCTTTTTTTTCGTCCTGGAGACAGTACTGAATTGGTATCTAATTCGGAAAAAGAACTTAGTCCACTTACAGTACTAGGTGAAGATGGTACTGGACTATCCAGTGGTCGTATAAAGCAAAAAATAAGTCATTACATGTCTTGTGACTATTAGTCAGTAATGGCATGGGAGTAAGAATTATTAAGGGTGATGTAGGTGTAGGTTTTCAACTTCTTCGATGACCACAGAAGGAGAAGCCTCAAAACTGGTGTTGGTATCTTCTATACCAAATGGTGTCAAGTTTTTAACTAAATTTCGATCTTCATCGCACATCTGCAAATACTTTCTGCGCTATTCCCCTTATTTGGTTGACTATGATTTCCGCTACAGGGGGTAAAGTTGATTCTGGTTTTTCAACTCCAAGACCTGCAACATAGTAAAATATTTAAAGATATGTCTAAATAAGACAAAAAATTCTCAAATAAAAAGATCTAGTCATTTATATATCTATAATTAGCATTCAAACATGCTGAACAAAATCCTATATAATTTTATGCCGAAGAACATAGTTAGTTCTCAATACGCTACATAAAAAACGTGTAAGATTTCCGAAGAACAACGCCGTAAGTATTCAAACAATCTGTATAATTGTAATGAGTTTGGGAGAAAAACGAAAGTAGGAAACATACGACGTCAAAAATATCCGATACCATAACATAAGTAAATAAAGAATATAAATAAAGTACATAAAGAAAACATCATCAAAATACATTTTTATTAAATAAATTTATTTTTTTTTTCATTTCCGTAGAACAACGTCGGTTGTTAAGTTATGACACGGATTTTGAATAATTCATTTTTTATATATATTTTAATTTAATAAAATAAAAGATTACCCACTCAGATAATAAATATTGTTAGTGTTTGTAATAAATCAAATTTGTGTTTAACCAATTTGAAAAAATGTGAATGTATACCATGTTATTCGTCTATGTGGTAACGGGTCATAGCTTCGACTCATCTGAAGAGCTTAGTATTTAATAATAACAGGTAAGAAGTAAGTGGGAATGATTCATCTTCACCGAGATTAAATAATTATTTCAGCTTAAATTATATAAGTGATAGATTAAAAATTTAAAAACCCCCCAACCATCTTGGACCGATTTTCATCAAACATAGCAAAGAATACTCACGATTGATTCACCTTTCAAACAAAAAAAACTAAATCAAAATCAGTTCATCCGTTCGGGAGCTACGATGCCACAGT